TCATGGATTCTGGGGCCACCATGGTCACTTCCGAGGCCCTCAGCACCACCCACACCACCTCCAGGGGCCTGCATGGCTGTCTGGCCTCTTCTCCTCAGTGCCCACCTCAACCTCAACCTCTTGCCTCAAGCTCCTGCTGAAGGAGTCCGCGCAGCTCCGCCCCTTCCCACCCACAATGCACCGCGAGAAAGCTGTGGCGCCTGCGCAAGCACGCTCACACCTTGGTGTTTCCCGCCAAGCCAGCTGGTCTGGCCGCCTGCACGCCTCTTGTGTTGCCAGGCAACATGCTGCCCTTGCTTGCATCAATGAACCCCCAGTCTGGTCCCTTACAAGCTGGCCCAGCCCCGAGTCCCAGAGACCCCCTTACTTCTCAGGGACACTAACGGGGTCCAGGTACCCGGCCCTATGCCAAGGAAGTCTGTGGGGCCCTGCAGAGCCCTGGGGCCAAGTGAGGCGTGTCAGGGGGACAAGTCCTGCCTGGGACCAGGACACCTTGGGCAGCCACGGGACCCGCGATGCCCACAGAGGCAGCCGGGCCTTTGGCGCCATGCTGGCCCATCACCCCAGTCCCCAACCACTCTCCCACCCCTCGACCACCACCCCTGCCCCTAACCACGCACTTCCCCTCCCACTGAGATCTGGAGGAAGAGATGGCTCCTGCCAAGTCCAGCCCCAGCCCAGACCACCCTCCCCCAGCTCCTGAGGGGGTTGCGGCTACCTGGCGGTGCCCACCCTGGGGATGTGCCCGGGACGCCGGCTCCTTCCGCAACATGTGACTCTGTCATGCGTTGAGCCGTCCTGGAGAGGGAAGCAGGGACTCAGTGTGGCATTGAAGGGGAGAAGCAGAATGGTGGCCCAGGCCCACTGTCTGCCCTGCCCCCTTCTGATGAGCATCTGCAACAAGCAGAGAGGAGCCTTCCACTGTTGGGGTCCATCCCAGCAGCCGGGCCCTCTACTGCCCCAGCCCCCGGGTGTTTGCCTCCTGGCCTCCTTCCCGCCTCTGGTAACAAAGCGGTGACTCTTAGTTGGACCGGAGGTGCCTGCCATCTTCACCTGGGGGATGACCCTGTGTGTCCACACGCCCTGCAGAGAGCGAGGCTCGACAGAGGCAGACACAGCGCACCGCGCCACAAATGGACATCCAGTTAGGTACCCAGAGGACCCAACCCTGAGAAGTCCCTCCAGCCACCTCTTCCCTTAGCGCTGAGCACCTCCTCGCCAAGGTGGCACGAAGAAACCGGGAGACAGCAGAGATGGGAGTGAGGAAGAGGGCGAGGGGCGGAAACGCACTGCAGGGGAAGGGAAGGGAGAAGAGAGGAGAGATCCAGAGAGAGCCGTGACCCACAGCAGTCAGCAGAAACGTGGTGTAAATATGTACAGCGCAGCGCTCCTGGCTGCAAAGGCGAGAAAAGGCAGACAGGACAAAGACGGCGAGAACATGAAGACGCCTCCATGGGCAAGAAGACGAGGAGGTGCCGGGGCTGAAGGCGTCCTTCCTGAGAGCGGAGTCTTCTGACGCTGCCTCTCCTCCACCCGCTTCCAATCTCGTAACTTTTAGAGCAAAATAGGGATTCCCAGACACCACAGGCTGTGCTTCTTCTGTTTGCTCTTTGCTGTGCTCAGCGCCCTGTTCCGTGTGGGCTCTGAATAACGATCTCGTCGTTGGGAGGGCCTCGCCACTCACCGGGCCCGGCCCGCGTCCCTTCACCTCCCTTCGCCTTGGTGTGCCCTGAAGAGGCTCCCAGGCAGTGCCCGCCTCCACCTGCACCCAGAGCACTACCTTCCCTTTTGTCCTCTCCCAGTCACACTAGTAGGCCGGCCCCCAGCAGCCCCACGGATGTCAACGTTAACCACAGTAGGAGTCAATCGACATAAGACACGTGCCTTTGTTCAGTCATGGTGGCACACAGCTGTAATGCCAGCAGCATCTGGGAGACTGAGGTAGCAGAATTGGGAATTTGAGCACAGCCTGGATAATGCCTGACTAGGCAAGACCAGGTTGTGAACTATATACTTAAAAATAGGGCTGGAGGTAGAGTTCGGCACCAAGGCGCTGGGTGGGATCCCTAGTGCCACCCAAAATGTCCCCAAGAGAGTAGAGGTGGAGGACATACAGCATGAACTGGAAATTAGCCAGGCGGATGTGCTGGACAGTCCCTTCCGACACGAAGGGACAGAAAAGACGTGGCAGCCTTGCTCAGAAGCAGAAGCTGCTATCGCCAAGCCCAGACTTGGCTCCAGGAGAGTAGCACAGGAATACAGCAATGATCGATCTTGTGAAATCTCTTGATGAAATTCATCACAATCCATGATAGCCAAGGATGTAGCAGCCACCCAACAGATACAATGAGGCCCTATGAAATCAGATATTCATGTGTGTTTAAGACCCTTATTTGTGATGGAGGCAAACCCTAAACAGCCCTCCAGCTTCAAGTGCTTTGAGTGGACTTGGCAACCCACTAAATCTGGAGGACCCATGCCTGTGCAACGTGCCATGTCCCCCCACCCCATCTTCACTGTGGATGACACCTCTGATGGAAACTGCCCAGTGTGTTACAAACTCCCCTAGGGTAAAAGGTGTCTTCCACCATCTTCCTCTGTTTTCTGGGAAAACAAGCCTTTGTAGCTCAGTGCATAGCTGCAAGGTTGAGTATTCCCGGAGAAAGAAACAAAAACAAGACCCACAAAGCTTGCTATTTAGTAACAAATTTTTCCAGATTTACAGAAACTGGGACATCTGGTGACCTAGAGAACAGCACCTCGCGCACATCAGCCAAGCGGCCCCCAACAAATTGGTAACTATCTTGGGGCCCGGCTGTCTGCTATCCCTGCCCAGCATCCCTCTGCAAGCCTGGTTCCTGAAAATCCCAAGCAAGGTGGCATTTCTGTGTCTTTCTCTGTTTGCTTTTAGGAGTGAAGTTCCACCTTCCACCTGCCAGCTGCTGCAAGGAAGGTCTTTCTTAGCCTGTGACTGTGTCTCGCAAGCGCCTGGCTTCACTGGGTGGCAGAAAGAGACCTTTCTTGGGCATGTGATGAGACTGGCAGCAGAACCTAAGCTCAAAGCGCTGAGCACCAGCCCTGAGGATCCTTCCCCTAGCAACTGTCTTTATGATTGCATCCTGCTGTCACTGGCAAATGAACCAAATTTCCTGTGATAGGGAAAGGAGTTTGCCTCCCCCTTCTCCTGTCTGACATGAGACTGCACATGACACATGACAGATCTGTCCCCTGTCATCCACTGACACCAAATCACTCTCCTCTGCTTGTGGGGTTTCCTCCCCTGTCCTCTCCCCCAGGGTCCACAACTTTCCTGACTGTGCTGCATGCGGCTCAATTCCTCAGGGAGGGCAAGCAGGTCCCTGGGCCTAACTTCCCTGGAAGGACAGTGTGCCAGCGTCACCAAGATGACAGCTTCGACTTCCCTAAACACAGCTTTGCCCAGTATTGGAGACTGAACCCATGGCTTTCCCTTGAGCTAAACGCCTACTCCTGTCACATATTTTAATTTGAGGCAGAATCTCACTAAATGTGACTTTTTTTTCTTTGTTCCTTTTGGTTCTTGAGACAGAGTTTTGGTTTGCAGTTCAAGGTATCCTGGAACTCACCTTGTCGTCCAAGCTTGCTTTGAACTCATGGTGATCCTCCTGTATTAGCCTCCTGAGTGCTGGGATGACAGGAATGCACCCCATGCCTGGCCTGACATTCTTAACAGGAAAATATGAGTTATGTCATAAATGATATTGAGGCTCCAGGAATCTTTGAGAGAGTGACTCACAGCATTTGTCACACGAAAGTAAATTTACATTAGAAGAAAATTTTACAGTATTATCATACGCTGTCAGTAATATTTTTAACGATTTTATACTGGGTAGTGTTCTCCATAGCCCATAAATTCCATAATGAAGAAATGTATTAAATGCACTTAAAACGTAAGATCACCAGAATCACTCTAACAAATGTAAAAAGCAAATTACATTTACAATCACATTTGGCTGGTACTGCATGAAGAAGGGTTGTCTCATGCATCTGCCTGACAGTAAGCATCATAAACACTTTGAAGAAACACAACCTGACACAAAGGCTACCACAACCTGACAGAAGGGAGCAACATTTCTTCAAGGACATTCATCCAGCAGCTGTCTCTATAACCTAGTCCTCCCCATTTTACCGTGAAACATTCTGCTGGATTCAGCCTCCTCAGCTTGCTCAGAGTTCATTACTGTAAGCATGCTCCCATTCCAAGGTCATGCTCTCCCCCAAATAAACACCATGATACCTTTAAGAATCTGTTGTTCTGATTGCTAAAATCATTTGTAAAATTCTCCAGAGGTGAGGCATAGGAACCAAGAGCAGTGAGCAGCAGTTCTCGGGGAAAAGGACCTCCTAGGTAACAGGTGACTGTGTTCTACAGAGGATGACCTGGACCCTCCTCTAAGCTCAACTCCCCAGTACCCTGGAGAGAGACACCTCTTATCATGAGCCTCCCATCCAGCCTCAGCCAAGGGAGGTACAAATAGTGAGGAGGGGGCTTCCGCTTCCTAAGCTGCCCTCCCACCAAGGGCATCTTCCTGAATGGGGCAGGAAGCTTTGGGCAACATCCCTGGGGTCAGGGACCATGCCACAATGTCGTCAGCCCCCTGGAGTGCATGGCCCCAGTGCAGGGTGTCTTTGAGGAGAGCACTGGCCATTGGCACTGGCCAGGATGCTCACAATGCTCCTGGAGCGTGTAGCTCCTGCCTTGCTTTGAGGCCGGCAGGAAGAGTGGGCATGGAAGCCAGCTCCCCTCCCAGCAGCATGGCATGCTCGCCCCTCTGACCTCAGGTCCATGGGCTGAGAATGCTCCAGTCCCGTGTGCTACTTATGGCCACCAGCTGTTACCTTTACTAGCTCCTCCTCTACCTCCATCCCTAAGTGTGTGTCCCCCAGGGGAAGCCGCCCAAGACCTCAGAGGACAAAAGCCAGAAACCAAGGAGAGGCGTTAGCTGAAACAAACTCAGGAGCAGAAAGGTTGCTCAGCTTTATTTTTTTCAGTGCCACACGCTCAATGTGGTATGGGCTTCAGCCCCCTTTTGCCAGAAGAGAAGAGGCCGGAAACAAGGGCTTCAAGCGCTGCAGGATCCGCAAGAGCAGGGCAAGTTCCTCCAGGAACTGGGTGAACACTATCTGGAGGTGGCCACGGTCCTGGGCGACCCATCTCCTGCGAGACAAGGGACAATCGCTCCGGGTCAGGACTCGGAGCCTGGTCAGCACCCCCAAATTCAGCTTCCTCCATACTCAGGGACCCCGACATTCTGCACTGCCCACACTCAGCACCTCCTGCACTCAGAGAGACCGCAAACTCATCCCCCCCCCCACCGCCATCTGCGCCCACCGTGCCCCGCGGCCTCACACAGTCAGGACGCTGCGGTCCCTGGTGAGCACCCGGTGAAGGTCAGGGCTCTCCCCGAAATCAGCCAGGTACCTTAGGCTGACCTCAGCCTCCAGGGAGGACCAGAAAGGCACCCTGACCTTGCTGTGGTGAGAGGTTAAGGCCTGATGCGCTACTGTCCACTCCCGGCCCGCCAGGTCCTCTGTCCCCTCCTGTCCAGTTCCGATCTGTCCGGTCCAGTCCAGGCCCGGGAGCTCTCAGGCTGTGCTCACCCACGTGGCTCCCCTCCCTCGCCCCCTTCGCCCGGGCTGTGCCTGTCCACGCGGCCCCTCCGCCCGGGACCCCATCCCCTCTCCTGTCCCCGCGTCCACCGTGGGTCTTGCGCGTCTCTGGCTCCGCTCCCCACGCCTCCCCGTCCCCCAACCAAGGCCCCGTCCTGAAGGATACAATTCATGTAGACCGGTCCCTGTCCTGCTGACCAAGAGCACAATGTCCCCAAAGGGCCACGGGCCATGGGGTATCTGGACGATCCGCAAAATGGTTGCAGCGTAGGCTCCCTCGTCCCCGGAGACACCTGCGCCAGCCTGGTCACTCCTGTGGCCGTCCGCTCCGCCCTCAGCACTGCCAGAGGACTGCATGGCTGCCGGACCTCTTCCCCTCAGACGCTGCCTGGATTAGGACGGACTAAGTAGGCCTCTGTGAAGCTCCGCCCCTTTCACCGCCCACAATGCACCTGGTGATGCCTATAGCGCCTGCGCAAGGTGGCTCTCGTGTATGTGTGCGTGTGTGCGTGCGTACCTGTGTGTGCGCTCATGCGCGCGCGAGCGGATTTCCCGCCAAACTGGCCTTCAGGCCTAAACTGCTCTTTGGTTGCCAGGCAACGGGGCTTTCCTCACAGAGCCCCGTCCAGAACGCCCCCCCCCACGCCCAGTGCCCATGCGCAATGGACCTTCAGGCGTGGGGTCCCCTCCAAGCTGGCTCAGCCCTTGGGTCCAGAGATGCCCTTGGGTTACCGGGCACTGAGGAGTTCCAGAGGTCATGCTCTGTAGTGGCAAAATCTATGGGGCCCTCCGGAGCCGCTGGGTGGGATGGCACAGGACAAGGCCTGGCAGGTTAGGAGCATCAAAGCCGTTTCTTGTGTGAATGCCTGGTGCTGGACTGTGCAGGACGGGACGGGGCTGGGCGTGGTGGGGAAGAGGCCCTGTCTGGGATCTGGACGCCTCTTGGAGCTGCTGGACCTGTAACGCCCACAGGGGGAGCCAGGCCTTGGGCGCTGTGCTGGCCCATGGTCCCTGCCTCCAACCAATGCCCCCCAACCGGGTTCTTGGGGAGGAAGTGGCTGTGGCCAAGCCCAGCCCCATACTCTCCAGGCCCGGGCGTGCAGTCAGGAGTGCAGCTTCCTGGTGGTGCCCACCCAGGGGTGTGCCCGGAACAGCCGCTCTTGGGTAAGTTTGAGATGCGAATAATCACTGTTGAGTGAATCGAAACAGGATGGGCGATCAACACGGACTTGTTCAGCTCTTGTTGTGTATCTCAGTAGAAGCATGAAAGAAGTGTCTAAAGGACTACTATACACAGGAAGGGTTCTTTGTATATGAATGGTTTACAACGTGTTCACGAAATATGTAGGATCAAACCAAACATACTGAAAGAAAATTTCCGGGAACTTATTTGGCCATCTGGATAGCTGAAGTCTTTCCTAAACCACTAACAATAGAATGATGATAACCAAAAACATGCCTTGGGTATCACGTTCCAATCGTCGTTTAAAGTAGTAAGCAGGAATTGGCTTATTTATCCACAAATATGCCACACTTTCAGTGTGGTTACTTTTAATGATGAAATAGCAGTTGAGTTTTACTTTCTTTCTTTGTTCCTCCACTATGCACTTTTGGCTGGCCTTGAAGTCACTTTGTAGCCCAGGTTGGCCTTGAACTCACTGGGATCCTCCTGCCTCCACCCTCTGAGTCGTGTGATGACAGATGTGTGTGAAATCATCTGGCTTTTCCTTTCCAAACTCGTGTGTGTGTGTGTGTGTGTGTGTGTGTGTGTGTGTGTGTGTGTGATTACAGTTAGCATGTATTACATTTGTCAACAGAACAGTTAAGAAAGTGATTCATTACTTGTGGAGAAAAACTTCTAATTAGTTCCCAAGTGAACTACTTTGCAGAAGTTGTAGTTATTCGGTACTATTCACTAGAGGCTGAATTATTCCCTGGAAAGTTCTTCTAATTGGCACCTCTGCTTGATGCGGTGATCACTGTTGTCCTGGGCACTCCCTGAAGTCACCGAGTCTCAGGGCCAAGGCTAGACACCAGGGGGCTGACGCCACACAGCTCCCTTTGTGTCTGTGGCTTTGAGCTGCTTCTGCAAAGCGGTCTTTTCCAAATTCTGCAACAGTGCTGGACCTTCCTTGAAAGCTGTCTCTCCAGAGGGCAGCTGGTAGCTCGCTTCAGTGATTCATTGGGTTACATTAGATGTTTTTCTTCTGTTCCTTCCGACTACTCACATATGAGCACAAAAGCCCCACCCATGGGAGGTGCCGGTTAAATAGTGCCCTCCACACTGCCAGTCCTGGCCTAAGCACTGCCAGTCACAGCCTTCATGTGTCTCAGTCAGAAAAGACTTGTTTGGCACGTGACAAAGATATGTTTCTGTCACGTCGGTCACAATGTTTAACAATTTTGACTATGAAACGATGGGGCCCAGGCGAACAAATTTGAGAGTGATAGTTAAATAAGGAACTCTTTGCCAGATACTCAGGATGTTCTTGAATTTCTGGGCTTCAAACCAATACAGTCATGACTCAGCATCCACGGGGAGCTACTCCAGGCTTGGGATCAGGTCCCTGAACCTGAACCGCCATGAACTCAGAGCCCTTGCATCAAATGTAGCATTGGCATGCCCCCTCTGCAAATAGTTTTAGGAATCTCTAGATTACTTATAATTTTAATGCAGTATAAGCGCTATGGCATTTTGTCCTTCTATCGTGTACCCCGTACATGTTTAGTAGAGACGCGGTTTTCTTCTAGTGCTTCCCGTGCGAGGTTGGTTGCATTTGCAGCACAGTCCTGCAGCGTCAGACCGAGCTTGCCCTGACCAGCCTCACTGTTCCCTCACTGCCCGCGTTCTCCCTTCTCCTCTCTTCTCTCCACAGCCTGCCAGTCTCTCATTGCCCTCCAGCTGATTCCCTTCAAATTGTCCTAGCCACCTTCTAGGCGACCTGAGGCCAGCTTAGCTTCATCTCTTACCTGGGTGTGGATGATGGTGTGTTCCGAGTTCTGCAGAGTTTACTGGACCCCTTTCCCAGAGATGTGGCCCGAATAGTGTTCTCCCTTAGAAGAAGGGGACGAGGCTGGCACGGGTCCCCCTGATGCGGACTTTTGAAGGGCCCAGCTTTACACCAAAGGGTTTGAGATGTGTGGGCCTGCTGATCCCTTGGAGGTCATGGAGAGCTGCTGGCCTCTGGAGGGCTTTCTCTCTGGGCGTCCTGGGCACACCCCCAGTGTGAGCCCCGCTAGGGAGCAGCACCCCAGACAGCGCATGGTTCCTGGCCCAGGAGCTCCTGGGACTGGGCTGGGGACTCAGCTGGATCAGCCTGGGCTTGCCCAGAGCCAACTCCTCCTCCAGAATTCGGTGCGGGTGGGGGTGGGGTTTCAGGAGCTACGGGAGCGTCAGGGATTCGGCCAGCACAGCGCCCACAGCCGGGCTTCCCCAGTGGGAGTCGAGGGTCCAGCAGCTTACCGAGGTGTCCAGGTCTCAGGCAAGGAATATCCCCAGTCCCGCCCCAGGGCTCTGTTGGGTCCCCAGACTTCCCTGGTACAGAGTCCTGCCTCTGGACACATTCAGTGCCCCTGTAGCAGAAAGGAGTCGTTGGGACTTAGGGCTGGGTGACCCTGAAGGAGACCTGATGGTTAGGGATCCACTGGTACAAGGCAAGGCCCAGCAGGGTGCCTGGCAACACAAGAGGCTTGCAGGCCACCATACCATCTGGCTTGGCAGGCATCTCCTAGGTGTGGGCATGTTTGCAAAGGCGCCACAGATTTCTCCCGGTGTGTTTTGGGGGTGGGGGGAAGGGGCGGAGCTTTGCAGACTCCTCCTTCCTCAGCAGGAGCCTGTGCCAGGAGTTCTGGATCCAGGGGGGCACCGAGAGAAGAGGCCCGACAGCCATGCAGGCCCCTGACGGTTGTGCTGGTGGTGCGGAGGGCCACGGAGGTGACCAGGATGGCGCTGGACACCCGAGTGGCGCAGGTGTAGTCACTGGGGCTGGAGAAGGAGGCGCCTGTGCTCGTGTAGTCAGGTGTGTTGTACAGATGCCTCCCGGGCCGTGGACCTGCGGGCATTCTGGCCTTGTGGTCTGAAGGCTGGGGTTGCATGTGTATGTGCTGTATCCTTTGGGAAGCGGTCACTATGGCCTGGAACGTCGGAGGGAACAGGGTCATAGGGCAGCAGAGGGGAGGTTGGGGCCAGGGCTGTAGCCGCACAGGGCCCATGGTGGCTGCGGGGGACAGGAGCAGGGCTAGGGTCCTGGGCAAAAGGGACAAGGGAGGGGATCCGGGTAGGGTGGGGACAGCCCGAGAGCTGCCCGGGACTGGACTGGACCTCACGGGACAGGTCATGACCGAGGGCATGGTGGGCAGGGCCCAGTCGGTAGATAGGGCATCACGCCTTAACCTGGCTCCTCGGCACCCTCAGGGTGCCTTTCTGTTCCCCCACATTAGCGGAGATCACGCGAAGGTTCCTGACACCCTCTGAGGAGCACCATAGCCGGATGATGGTGGACCGCGGCTTCCTGCCTGTGTGAGGCCGCAGGGCGCAGAGGGCGGCCAGCACGTGGAGCACTGGGTGTTTAGGGCGCTGAATGCAGGGGGCACTGCTCATGGTGGCCGCTGAACATGGCAGGCACTGATTGTGGGTGGAGCTGAGTGCAGGGGGCACTGCGCTTGGGGGGCCCTGCACGTGAGGGGCGCTGAGTGTAGTGGGAGAGGTTGATGCACAGGGCGGGGACCCTGACAGGCCTGAGAGTCCTGACCTGGAGCAGTTTCCCCTCTCTCTCCCAGGAGATGGGTCGCCCTGGACGCAGGCGGCCTCCAGGCAGTGTTCGCCCCCTTCCTGAGCCAGCTTTCCAGAGTCTTGCAGAACATGGAGTGCATGCATGCTGCCGATCCCTGTTCATCCTAGCAGGAGAGGGAGGCTGAAGCCCAGGAGTGCCACGCCACAGCGCACACACTTCCTTGGGCCTTCTGTGCCCTCGTTGTTTCACCCTTCAGGAGTTAAGGTGCTCAGAGGCCGCTTGTTTGTTTCCTTGTCGCTGGCCGAGAATTGTACTCAAATGTTTCTTGCTGCACAAAGTAAAGCTGACCTATGACTCCGTGCTTGAGTTTCTTTCAGCTATGGAACTCCTTGCTTTGTAGCTTTAGTCCTCTGGGGACAAGGGAACCTTCCCACAGGGAACACCTATTTCTACATGGAGATCAAGGGGAGTGAGTAAAGTCGATGACAGGTGGGTGGGTATCAGTGACACGGAGGACAGGAGCTTTCACAGCCCACAGGCAGGAAGGTTGGGGTACTGCGGTGCTGAGGTGAGGACTTGGTCCTGTCCCCCCTCCCACGGCACTGCTCAATGCAAGGTACCAGGTAGTTGTCCAGGTGCTTTGTGCTTGGTGGCCCAGTGATAGTGCCTCCCAGGGGACACGCTAAGGGGCTGTGCCACCAGAGACCCAGACTGGAGCGACCCCTGCCCGTGATGGTGGAGAGAGGCCGGCTCAGGGACAAGGAGCCCCTCATGATGTTGTCTCAATAAATTTAATATTGAAGAATTTATGTGAGTTTTCTTTTCCCAATGTATACATTTTTTGGCAGACTATATATCCCACATGTGTGCAAACACAAGGGCATGAATATGGGGGCAGACATGCAGAAAGACCCAATTTGTGCCTGGACCAACATACGCGTAGATGGAGGTGTAAGGTAGCTAATGTTTGGCACTCTACTATGGAAATATGTTGGTATTAATTCAGGCACGGGCTTTACGAGATTAGAATGTGAGTGGGAATCCCCAGGGTGTCCTACAACTGGAAAAAGCTTAACCATTTTTTAGAAAAGAGAATCGAAAAAGAACGAAATGGTATACTAGAAAGAAATCCACTCATCAGCGAAGGAGGCCCTAAGGGAAGACTCTTGGAGGAGTAGAGATGTGAGATGTTCAACTCCCAGTGAGTTCCATGAGGCCAGTCAAGCATTACAGGAAAACAGAGCCAACGGCTAGTGGCACACACCTCTAATCTCAGCAAGGAGGGCGGCTGGGTGGGGCAAGTGGGTCACCAGGTTGTGCCCACCTGGCTAACTTAGCAACTAAGCTAAACCCTGTCCCAAAATGAGAAGCAAAACTATAAAAATAAGAAAGCATGAGCATTTAGCTCCTTGGGAAGGCCCTGGCTACAACTGCCACTACTGCAAGGCAAAGGAAAAAACAGAAAAAGGGAGTTAGCTGAGAAATTTAAACCAGACAAGACACATGAAAGGAGCACTACAATTTGAGTATATGCCAAAGCATAAAACACACTATTAGCAAACTGTATTCACTGGGCTACCTTAAAGATTGCTACCTTGTGAACCAAGGAATTCCGTCCCCCTGGTAAAAGGCAGAAGGGTTCAACATAAGGATATCTTTTCATGGACTTCCAAGATACATTAAATGTGGAAAATAATGAAACGCATCCTGCTAAAAGTCAAACCAGGAGGGGAAAACACCAACAGCACTCATCACTACAATATAGCTACGTCCATGGCAGGAGGACGTTTTCCAGCCTGCCTGTGATCTGACCTAAGAGCAGCGCTGGAAACCATGTCAACACTGTCTTCCTGCTGCCTCCAGGACCCCATCCTCCTTTGGCTTGCTCCTGCTCGCTGGCCTTTCTTGCCTCCGCAAGTCTCTTGCTGGGTCTTTCACTTCTGCCCAGAGTCCTCACTGCGGGAGCACCCTAAGCTCAGTCAGTCTCTTGTCATCTTCTCTACCTCATTGGCTTCCTTGCTACCCTCCTGCAATCTCACATGCGTGAATTTGGTATGTACATCGCTGAGCCTCAAAGCTATTTCTCCTCTCTGCAATACCAACTCCACAGCCATATCCAACGGACCAACTTACAGTTTGCAATTGTGTAAAGAGCAAAATTTGCAGTCCAAAACAGCTTATTCTCACCTAGGCACACACCCATCTCTTCCCCACAGCAATCAACGGCAGTGGCTCAGAACAAAATCATCCTGGCGTAGTCTAGTTTTTCTTCCCCTTCCAGTCACATATCCCAAACAAAATCCGCTGGCAAATCCCTAATCACAAGTATGAATATACTGTCCCCGAAAATGTTATCTGACACACTGAGAATTAAAGCAGCTATGACGTGCACAGCATTCAACATTGAACCTAACAGCCAGTAAAAATCACAAGCAGTAGTATCAAGGGGGCCAGGTCCTGTTGTGCTGTACATGTGTTACGTCATCTAAAAGTAGCCATGAAACCATATCCCTCAGCATATCAGGGCCGTTACATGCTTCGTCTTGCAGATGATAAACTTCTTGGTTCACGTGCATGTCTTTGTCCACAAGCACACACGGGCATTCAAAGCAAGGTACAGAGACTAGATAGTGTTGCCAATCACAACTGTTGTGCTGCACATGTATTGCGTCAGGGGTGCAGTGGGGGGAGGTTGGGGGGGACAGGAACTGTGCAATTGCGTTCCTGGATGATATAAAAGGAGTCCTGAATAAATGGGGAGAGAAGTCATGCACACACAGAGGAAGACTCCGTACTGTCAGACATAGATTCCCTACAGATGGAGTTCCTGTGGCAGATTCAAGTAGATAGCCAGGAGAATA